TCAGTTTCTAGAACTACTCTACTAGTGGTCAGCTGCCTCAGGCAATGATTCAAGAAGACTTCAGAAAGTACTTCGGTCTAATTAGTATAAGAGATTTTTATTTTAAAATGCATTTTCATATGCAAAGTTGTTCATGATTATTCATCTTTACATTATTCCTGCTTCCTGTTTCCGTGACTCCATGACTTTCATATTATCTTCACATTACCTTCCTGAAATGCAGTATAAACATGTCATTTCGATCAGTTATTCCAATAGTTCTCATTTAGAATGAACTCTGTATCATAGCCTAGCATGTGAGGCACTCTGGCTTATTGCCTCTTGTCTTCTCTTGCCTCAATCCCTGCCACTTCCTTCTTCACACTTTGTATTCCAGCAATATTAACTGGATACCGGTTGCTACTAACTTATCCCTAAATTTTCCTGGAGTTCACAAAAAAAACACCCAAATCTTCTTTAGCACCATCTTTTCTGCAAAGTCTTTTTTAACCTTCATAGAGAGAATTATTCAAATATCTCTTGTGCTACATTTCTATCTTACTTATTTCAGATTATTGATTTTACACTGTTTTAATTTTTTTTTCCTTAAGAGCTGTGAGACTTTTGTGGAAAAATGTTGTCTTATTCAGTTTTATTGCAATGACGCCTGATATTTTTACTAGTTAATGATATTTTGGATTGAACTGAACTTTTGATCAAGATCTACTAATAATCAGACATTACTTATTGTGTGTGACCTTTTGACATGCCCATATGGAGAAGGCTAACTCTGATATGTAAATCACATTCCTCGTGCTAAAGAAGCTAACACTACATTTGGGTAAAAAAATATCAGAAAGGAATTAAAACTGAAAAGACACCATAATTGTCAAATGAAATTGAACCTAAATAATCTGAAAGAGACCATACATTTTAGAGTAAATAGTAAACACAGCACTTTCAAAGTATAATAAAAGGAAGTTTTATTCATGTAATTACTTTCAATTAAGACACTAAAGATCATTTTGATCAAAATAAGAAAAATTTTATTAATAACTGACTACATCGGAGCAATGATTCAAGTCGATGTCAGAAACTACTTTGGTCTAATTAGTACAACATGTTTTTATTTTAAAATGCATTTTCATACTCAAAGTGGCTATTTATTAATTTCTCCAAAATAAATATCAAAGTAAGAAATGGCCGGCATTGACATCAATATCAGTGAATAGAAACACAGACAGTTTTCCTGTCATTTAAGCGAAGCAGCCCTTTATTCCCATTTAATTCTGTGAGCCACCCACATAATAAATCTGTACACTGAAGGGACAATGAGCTGAAAGAAACATAAGGTAAGCAGAATTACAACTTACTTCGAAATGAGGCAAAATAGTGGCCCTTAATTGAAATACGTTCAGAGTAGTTGAGGAATTAAGAAGACATTCAAGTCAGCAATATACGTAGCTGTAACAATGAGCTAAGGAAAGCATACGACAATATCATAGGTGATAATCAATTTTAAGTCAAGGTTCATCAAAGCCAATGAACTCATGCCAAAATTAATTTCATATATACCATGGATATGTTAAATAAATTGTTTTAGAAAGTAATCAGTGCCAGTCAGCTGGCCTATTGAGAGAAAAAAATGTTGGCACAAATGGAGCTGAAGGAAAACAGAATTTGGATAATCAAAGAACGGCATGTGCATATACAACAGATGAAGGACTAGC